GAGAACAGATAATGGTTGATAAATGTGTGTAGTCCCCATATGCAAACACCCACCTCACCCAAGTCGATGGCCACCAGATGACAATCGGGATAAAGCATCCTCCTTCTCACATTTTCTTGACAACATAAAGCGTCTTTTAACAGCCTGGTCCCACTCCACGACTCCCTCTTTATATGCAAATTTGCGTAAGGGTTAACTTTCGACTGAAGGTCAGTTGGCATTTTGTTCGACTTTTCGCAGTATATAATAGATTGTATATCATTTTTCTGCCATTCTGGCCTGTTCATTTTTAACGACAGAATTGATTGACATTTTGCGCCCTCGAGGCGGCTGTATTCAATATTTCGAATAAACTGAAACGGAGATGAGTTTGTGTTGATAAACCCTTTAAGCCGGTTTTTAGTTGATTGTTTGTGGGGGGTTTAAATAAAACGTGGAGACCAGTTAAAGAGAAGTACTAGATGGGGTGTCAATAGAATTTAAGGTTTTGAAAAAGGATAAAAAAAAAAAATTCCTTTTAAGTTTAAAAAAGTAATGTAAATAAAATCGTGTGCATATATCAATTACTCCGATATTTCTTTCTTGTTCGGCATTCATTTAGTTACGGTCATTTCCCGGCTAAGCCCATAAACCAGGCCAGAAAGAAGTCCAACCAAGGGCGAGGTGGACCACCTGTAAGCCGCTTGCCAATCGCTGACAGGCAACGCTTAACGTGAAAATCCCCTAAATCGCTCCCGCTGCAAACGAGTTTCGCCCGGGATCTGGATCTGGCTTTAGCTTTGGCTCTGTGTCCGCATCTGTATCTGTATCTGCGTCCGACCGGAACCCAATTGAATCGAGACCGGTCTATTCGAGCTGTTCCTTTGGCGAGCACGAAGATTGCTGCACCGTTTGGCTTCCTGTTGCCATCGACAGAGAAGTAAACAAAAATGTTTTCATGGACACAACTAGGGGCTTTAAGCTTACCTTCGCAATGGTACTGGTGGTCCGGGGTAAATGTCTAACTCTCTCTCTCTCTGGGGTATCATTAGCCTGGCCTGGTATAAATACTGTCTTCGCTGTTATTTGTTGGTCAGCGGCTAACCAATTGGTGAGTAATGTGTTTAGCTAGATTTATAGACTTAGCAGTCGCAGCTGCTCGACCAATTGTTTCTATGTAGGTAAGTTCGGTTCTAAAACATTGAAAATAAGTTCAAATCTAATGCCGGTATTAGAGTAAATAAGTCAAATAAAATAGTTAAAAATATTAAACATTTTTTATATAAGGTTAATCCCCACTTTCGGGTCAGCTAAAAGCGATGTTTTCGTTAATTAAATCGAAAATCGAGTTTCTAATTACACGAAACTTTTCGCTGGGTGCCTAAGTGAAAATAGGTAAATGAAAATTTTGAAACGGCTAAAACGAAATGAAATCATCAAAAAACGAAAACATAATTCAATTTTACGGCCCGTTGAACCCACTAATGAATCACACAGAGTTCGATAGCACATAGCCATGGAGTTATACAACCTGATATGTACAGATGTAGTTATTTAGATGTGCCATGCAAATCGAAATAGTTTTTGTTTTTATTGCATTTCCATTACATTTCATTGCATTTCGTATTTTATATCGGCTCGCAATTCTGTATGCTATTGGCATGATGATCCTTCGCCCTTTTCCGCTTTTATTGTGTCGACATTTTTTTTGGCTGTCCATTTTACATTCAATTAATGAGCAATTTGATGCCAGACTGTCGAAATGTTTTTAAAATCTCGGCAATCTCGACGGGAAAGTCTTGTCACATGTCAAACTTAAAGAAAAAAATTGAGTAACAATAAAACAAAAAAGAGTATATGCATTTGCCCTTTAACCAGGCGCCATATTGCGGTGTCTCAAATTCTTGTTGTCACCCATTTAAAAACTCAGAGAATGAAGCCAACTTATTTCCATAAAGATTAAGACAATAAAGAATATACATATACAAATTTTTATTTATATTTATTCTATTTCAAATTTGTTACAAAAATATTTTCGGAATAAACTTTCTATAATTTGTACAATTTTTAAAAATAAGGTATTAAGAAATTAATGACCAGATGCATGCTGCCGACACTCTCCCAAGGTAAAAACAGCATCGCAGAAAAAGAGCACAAAAAGTCGGTAAAAAGTTTAAAACAAGTAATTGAAGTTGAAAACAATCCGATGGTGGGGTTTAACTTTGCAGACAAATGCAAATAATAAGCCTGACACATACGGCACAAAAAAAGAAGGTCAAAAAGATTTTTTATTTTATTTTAATAAATATAAAATAATGTCTTTAATAATGAACTCAAAATTTTCTTTACAAATACATAAAATGGCAAAGAAAATATGAGGATATATTCACATTTATGTTTTTTTTTATTTATATGGATTTTAATTAGGAAAATAATATAGATTATTTATTTCTTCTGGAAATCCGGTGTTTGATAAGCGTAAACTTTATGCTCTATATAAAGCAGGCATCATCTCCGATTGTTTCTCAGTTTGACTACGTACTTAGTTTATAACGCATCGGCAAATATTCAGTATGAAATATTTTCTTATTATCGCTTCTCTGTGCTGCCTGTTGGGAATTAGTCTAGCCCAGTATGATCCGAGTAAGTACCTACATTAAAACAAATTCTAGGAAAAAGTATGAATGAAAATGTTTCGGTGCAAATATTTACATAATTTTATATACTTTATGTTACAATAAGATTCTTAAGTGTTATCCTAATCATTTTTTACAGCGTTTTCAAGACCGTGCCATGCCTTTTTGTCCAAATGGATTTATAGTCGAGAAAAAGGAAAGTGCATTAATAGCCACTATCTCGACTGCGGAAACCCCCGAAACTCTTTCAATACAAAGGAGGAATGCGAATTCGGAAATATATTTCGAAACAGAATTTTTTAATTTTGATGTTTTTTAATAAGGTGAAGAGATTGCGTAGTTTCCAAGTATGACAATATACACTTTTTATAACTTTATCTATTAATGTTGAAATCGTAAACAAATGCATAGTGCATTGCAACCCATTAAGTCTTTTTCATTCTAAAAATAAATATTAATAAATATTGACAAATTAAATAAAAACCATGTGTTTAACCTATAATGTTGTTCTTTTTTGCCTTCTCCAAATAAAATCATTTTCAAGCTCCCAAGAGGCCGAAAAATGTGTAACGCAACATTTAACCAACGGATGTGCACACCACACCATCAACTCGATGGCCGCACAACCAAAAAAAAGGTCATAAAAGGCCAATTTTAAAAGGGAAGGAAAAAGGGTAAAAAAAAGCAGCTTTGATGTTATTGCCGCAAATTAGCTAGAAATCTTTTGCCTACAGGTCAGCGTTTCCACTTTCCCATTCGACTTACCACTTTCTCTGGCCAGAATACTTTGGCCATCAGCTTGGACGATTATTTTTAGCTACACCTGTGCGTAACAAATAAAAATTTGCCGGGAAAATAATTTTACTTCAATTGAGTGCGGGCATGTGCAGAATTTCAAGTATACGTACACTCAAAAAATAAATTTAAAAACATTTTCATATATAAACAATGAAATACCCATGAGTTTAATTTAAAAAAAAACGATTCGTTTTGTAAATCTTTAATTGCAACCAAATTTTTCAAAAAACCTTTTTAAATTGAGTTTCAAAATATTTGTTTGCGTAATTTTTGATAGTTCGTTTGGGAGTTCGTGAAGAAAATGTGTATTCGCGTTTACTTTTTTGAGGAAAAAAAACATTAAATCAAGAGACAATAGGTAAATCACTGAGTGTTTATTTTTTTAGAGTGTCCTATGAGCTTCACATAGAGCAAAAGTAAAACACACATAAAATAAAACACAAAGTTTTTGATTCTCCGGACTTTGGCTGGGTCCATGCTCAAGTTAAAGCGGATTCCCATTTTCTTTCCACATAATTCTGCTCTGGCAGTCAGGAAGAGAAGCAGCACATTTTTGCTGCATCAATAGTTCAAATACCATTTTATGCTTAGTTGATTATTGACTACAAGTGGAAATTTACTTTTGCTTCATCGAGAAAGTATGAGGGAGACAGAGGAACTATCTTTTTTGGACTAAGTCTGGCAGAACGTTAAAAATTGACAGACGATAGAGACTTGTTTGTTTTTCAACTTACACGGAAATTGGGTTTTCGCTTAGCACAAATAAGAATGAAAACAAAAAATCGAGTGAAACTTGAAAACAAATTTTTAGTGTCTAAACACATTCAATGCTTTTATACATACATACATAATTTGGATATGTAAGCTTTAGAAAATTTTTGAGGCTAAACAACTTGACTTGTTTTATGCGACATAACATTAATAATAGACTTATGTTTGGTCCTTATTCGATTTCAAGTTAAAATCGTCCTTGGATATTCCCTCTTGCCTACTAACAATACGAAACGCAGCAGTCAAGTGCATCACCAGGTTATCCACACTTTTGTGACCAGTGTGCACTGCTCTTTCCTTGGGATTTCATTCAGTTCGGTTCCATTCCATTTTCAACTAACCCACACTTCAAACTCTCGCTTTCAATGCGTTCTCCATGGAAAACGCACTTGCCGTACAATCTGGGTTAACGAAGGTTCCTTATAAAGGACGAGTTTGTGGGTCGCAAAAAAAGAAATAAAAGGGTAAAGGTATGGCATTTCTTTTCTACACTTTCTCTTGGCTGTACTTTAATTTGTACTAGTAAGTTTAACTATAGCATTATCTATTATTTTATTTGCGGAAATTTCTGATGACGAATGGTTTTTTTTATTTAATTCTGATTAAAATGCTAAATTTAATTGTATTTAAGATAAGAATTTTCAAAAAAATTTTATTGAGTATAGATTAAGAACATAAATATCATTAATGCACTCTCTATTTGTTTGGAAGGGAAGCGATAAGACCCTTTACACTCTCTTCCCAGAAAAGATAACGCTATAAGCAGTATAAAGCAGTCATTTGACTACTCAATGCATTCAGTCAAAGCTTTGTTCATTCCAGAACACCATGTCACTTCATCGGTCTTTGGAATTTATTCTTGTGAGCTGTGTTTTATTTTATAACGTCCACGCTGGAGCATATTGTGGACCAAACAAAATATACGCATGTGTACCTTCACAATATTGTTCAAATCTTCACATCACAAAAACGAATCCCGCCGCCTATTACAACGAACAGTGTTTTTCATTCGAGTCATGCTGCGATATGAACAAAGTGAGTAAATAATATATTATGAAAAAATATATTTGAATGTCTTATACATTTTTGCAGATCGTGTTTGGAAAGCGATACAGTAGTGATGGAAAATATGTTTCAGGTCCATACGATCAAAGTGCCAACACCAATGAGCCACCGAATAATACTGACGGGAAAACATCATTAATAAACAGTCAGACTCCATATAATACAGGAGGAAAAACATCTACAACAAATAGTCAGACTACCTACAATACAGGTGGAAAAACAACTACAACAAATAGTCAGACTTATTATAATACAGGAGGAAAAACATTTATACAAAACAGTCAGACTCCAAATACTCCAGATAGAACAATTTTTACGACACATAGTCAGACCCTCAACAATAAAAATGGAAAAACAACTAATATAGCAAATACTTCTGGACAAACATCTTTGATTAATAGCTACCTTCACAATGGCCACTCTCACAATCGCAATAATGCTGGAAAAACTAGCACAGGAAACTCTGGTACGGCATATATCCAAAATACGTACAATCACGGAAATTCTGGTCTTATTCATCAACAAAATCTTAAATATGGTGGCAGTGGTGCAAATTACAATATGGGAAAAACTCATTCAACTGTAAAGCCTTCTACAAGTAATAGTTATAGTCCTAATAATTCAGGAAAGACTTTTACGAATCAAAATCTCGGTTCTAAATCATTAACTAACCTTAATATTAATTTAAATACACAATTGGATAATCTACTTCAATAACCGGGTATATATTTAATTATAAAGCATTTTTCGTCCTATTAAAAAGGGAATAAATGTGAAACTCCGATGTTTAAAATATAATATTACCATTAATAATATCACGATTGGTTTTCTTAGTGTGGTTTGCTGGCCAGAAATTATAAAAAGCTTAAGAAAGCGCGCCTAATCTTTAAGTTGGTTGGAGAAAGTGGTAGAAAGGTTTAGAGCTTAGTGAAAGAGCGAGATAGAGAGAGAGAGAGTGAGAGAGTGTCGTGGAAAAGGGCAGCTAGACCACTGCAGCTGTCACCATTGACAGGAAGTCAAAAGTTGGCATCCCCCAAAAGCGGAACTGAAACTGACAGCAGCAAACACACTTGCAAAGTCGCCGCAAGGACAGCCAAAAAGAAAATCGGGGCATAACAAAAAAAAAGCACAAAAAAACTGTACAAAAAAAAAAAAGAAAATTTGATTTCCACAGACAACTAAAATATTTTTTACCCCCATCCTCCGCCCAATCCATCGAACCTATGCCAGCTGCTGGAAGCAAAAGAAATCAAATTTTAATATAAAAAGGAAAAAACGAAAATAGGGGAAAGAAAATAAAAGGACCTTCCGAGTGCGTTTTCCAGCTGTTTCCCTTCAACAAGAATTTGTCATTTCTCTTTCTCAGTCTTTCTCTGCCTCATTCTAAGCTTGTTTGCATGTGTTTCTCTGTCTGTTTGTGGTTCGTCCTTCCTTTGTTTTTATTATTGTTTTTCAACAGGAAATTCGTTTCCGTCGTTGTTTTGGTTTTCTCCGTATTTTGGTTACAAGTTGTCTTCATTTTTTTAGCCCTTCGACTGTCTGCGGCTGATTGGAAAAATCGCCAAAACTAAAGGGAGAATCATTTCCAAGCCCTTTAAAATCCCTATTTAAATATTTAACAGATATTAAAGTAATTTCCTTTTAAGGCTTTTTTCTAAAGTCTGATTAAATTTAATTAATAATATTATTTTTGGGAACTTTAACAAACAAATCTATTTTAACCTAAAATGTTCAAGCTGTTAAAATTGTTTTCTAAAAAAAAACTTTTTTTGGTTAAAATATTTTACATAATGCCGCGAATAAAGGTATAGGTGCTGCGAAGCATCAACTCAAGCTCATTAATTTAACTTACCGAAAAAAGGAGAGAAATCGGGAATGGGGATATTCAGGCCGAACAAAACCAAGATAGAAGCCGAACAGGAACAGGATGTGCGGCCAGGTAAGAGGAGACACAAAAAAAGGAGGCAAGAAAAAAAAAGTAGCACGGAAGCGGATTTTCATTCAAGGTAAAAGCAATCAATCAATATTCATGAAATCAGATTTAATTTTAAGCGCATTTAAGTTCCCAGCCAGGAGGACGCCACCTCCTTCTCCGCCTACGGATTTCTCCTTGGTAATGATTCAGCATGAAATTTCGGGTGACTGAAGAAAGGCAAAAAACAACAAAATCAGCAGTAGCAGCAGCAACAGCAGGAACAAAAGCAAAAGCAGCAAAGAAAATCAGTAAAATGAAACGATGTCGACGTCAAAGCAAATGAAACTGAAGATGAGACCAGAGAGAAATTTCGGACGAACATCATTAGAAAGTTGCTGGATTCTGTTTGGAGTTGGGTGGCTACATCCATCCGACCTTGCTAATTGTATGACAACAGAGGGGGAGTTCTTTGGGGGAAGAGCCACCCACCTGGCCATGGACAGATTTCCTCCCCTCAAGTAGCTGCGCGCATAAAACTAAGCTGCCAATTCAATTTCGTAATCAGAGTGGCATGAAAAATTAAATAAAACATGCAAATAAAATTATTACGCATAATTTGTGTGCACGGGGGAGGATGAAGGGCTGATTTCGGTTGATGTGGGTAGGCAATACGATTCCCGGTTTTCCCGCGAGTTTTTCCGGTGCGGAGGAAGTGATTTTATTTTTGCTGGGATCTTGAGTGATTGGCGGTTAGGGCCTCCCTTTTGGAAGCCGATTTATTTCACTGGTTGACATTTTATCTTAAATTTTCAGCTGAAAATGCTTAAATCGTAAGTTATTAGCCAGCATTTTAATACTAAACTAAGTTAACTAAATACTTTTTAAAATGAATAATTAAATTACTTACTTGAATCTAAATATTTTTGTTTTCTACTTTAGTATAATCTATATCTTTATTTTATAAAGCTAGAAAACACGTTGAAGAAAACAATAATTTCTTTTATACTGCTTTTAAACTGCAAGCATTACCTAATATTTCTAGCACAGCTGTAACAGTCCCAACAAAGGCAAAAGTTAATGAAGTCTTTAATTAAGTTGCTTGTATATACATACCGACCTATATAGTCGTATGCTTGTGTGGTAAGCCCTCGGTTGTTGAGGCCAAAACTATTAGCAGTATGTCGGGAAAATAAACCTAAAGTTCTAGAGTAATGAGATCGTAACAGTGCAGATTTAACTCGAATTCGGATGGCCTGGCTTATCAAATATGTGCATCTGAAAATGAGTTTGGGAGCAGTTCGTAAACCTTTGTACCGCCTCATTTTTCACAAAAAAAAAAAAAAAAAAAAACCATTTTGCCGTCGCTGACCTTTTTCTGGTCTATATACTCCACTTTCCGTCCATTCCCCCTTAATCGACCATTTTATCTCTCCCAGAGATTTGTAAATTTGTGAAGCATTTTTTAATGTGCTTAATTTTATTTCAGCTCCTGCCAGTGGATTTGGTTGGTGTTTCCCTGTTTCGGTCGGAACATGTGTTGCTGGATAAACTTTTCCATTGTTGCTGTATGGTACATCACACAAGCGGCTTTATTGGTCAGCAGGGGTTAAAGTAGCCGAGTTAGTTTGTCAGCCTTGGCATTAAACCCATACTCCCCATCGCTCGTTCGCCTCATTTCCATCTGGCAGAGTTGCCGCGCCGCGGGTTATTTGTTGGGTTCAAAGTTCGGGTCTAGTCTGGTCGCCCTGGGATCGGGATTCGGGGTTTGGGATTGCGGGTCCTGGTCCGAGTGCGGGTCCGAGTCCCGGTCCTTGGGTCTCCGGGTGGGCAGTGCCCCCTGCTGTCACCTCTATTCTCGGTTTTTTGCACCATTTTTCGCTTATTTAGTGCTCTAATGGGGCATAAGTGTGATTTAGCAAGTGTTTAATGAGCTTTTCACTTTTTCCCTAGTCGTTTGAATTATTTTCTGTCCAGGTTGGGCTTGGCATAAAAGTTATTTAGATGTGACTTGTGTGACACAGAAGGGAATTAAGTATTCATGTTTATCAGGCATGCCCAAATTTCTTTGAGTATGTAAATTCGAATGGAGTAGGGTGAAAAATTAACATGATTAGTGGTAAAGATATAAACGTAGCCAGATATATTTTACCTTCAGCTCGGTTTAGTAAAATTAAAGATATTAGTTAACAAAATTAGTTAACAATGAAAAATCCAATCACATTTAAGTGTTCTTTAACATTTGGATGCGTATATTTTTTATGGAGTCTACATAGTTTTAAACGAGCTAAAGTCCGCATCCAACTTAAGTTTCTTTAAAGTTCACATAACTATATGTATGTTATGACCAAAACAACTAGCAATTGTATTTGCTTGGAAATCTCAGTTTCTATCACATTTCGGCGTTCTCTCATGCAATCACTTGGAGCCACCTCATTGAGAACAGACTGAAGCTCGACCCACTTGGTCCCTTTCGCATCAACTTGGCCCAAAGTGCTCCTGCATGGCCAGAGCACAAAAGCAGCCCGCAACCTATCACAACATTTGCTGGAGTATGTAACTCGCCTCGAATCCAGACGCGACTTCGAGTCGGGAATCGAGAGTCGGGCTTTGTGTTTTGGGCATGGACTGTTAGCGGAAAAGCCGTTGTAGGTCAGTGGGAAATGTGCTGCTACAGGAGTTTTTCGTCAAAGAGAGAGAGAGAGAGAGAGAGAGTGACCAAGAGAAAGGCTCTCTGAAAAGGACTCCGGTACTCAGAGCTTTCAGGACTATTTCGAAGTCGAACAGAAAATGTCCTACAAAAAGGGGAATTTGTCCCAAAAACGTTTAAAGCTGGGAAATGTTATGTTATGTACCTTTAGAAAATGTAAGCACACAACAAAATTTTAAAAGAAGTTAACTAAGCAACTATTCGAAAACATGCAGGAAATATTTTTAGTCTACTAAGTTAGTTTAGTTAAATTACAAAATTATTTATTTTTAAAATAATTTTATTTTTAAATTTTTGTAAGTTTTATCTAAAATAATTAAGTCTTGGGCTTATAACTAAGTGATTGATGGCTTTGCCCAGATTGTTTTATTTTTTTCTCTTTCTTTGTAAAATGAAAAACATCTTTAGTTTGTGACAGGGGTTCAGTCTTTATTTTTTGTTACCATTTGTATATTAATTGAACAAGAAAGTAGTTCATGCAATTACTTGCGACTTTCTAATGGCCGAGCCTTTGACTGTAGTCGAGTTTTATTGTAAACTTGATTCGAATGACTGATTAAAGTACTCCTTCTCCATGAGAAAAAATAAATCTCGACCTTCCCTGGGAAATTCCATACGATTTCAACAAGGCCATGCAGTTGAGGAAGGCCTGCGTTGTAACTCTATACCGTGCACGGCTAATATTTGCACTAATTTGATTAAAAGCATTTTAATGGCTTGAAGACTTGGCTGCCTCGCAGGTAAATGCTCGCACATTCATTTTGTTTGGGTTGCCGGCAAAATCTCTCCGGAAGTTTAGCCTGCTGCAGCGGAAGTTTGACCCCCACCTCCGCGCACACAGTAAAGCCTCGTCTGATGAACATGCCCCCCATCTTCAAAATGGCCGCCCATTTAACGCATGTGTTTGCACGCCACAACTTTCCAATCCCCCAAGTCGAAGAAGCCCCGTCCACAAAATACGCCAAGGAATTTTCGGAGGTCGATGCTTTACGGCATTTGGAATGGCGGAGATGGAGATGGAGATGGGAAACCCATTTCTAAAAACTCAACTCTAAGGAATGTTCGCCCCGTCTTTTCTGGCTTCAACCGGCACTGTTCTCTTCTTTTTTCTTTCTTACTTGCTCTTCCTTCAGCTTGGGTTTTTACGCCATTTCAGCAGAAAACTCAACCAACTCG